AACATGTGCTGATCAACATGTGCTGTATATTAACATTATAAATTTAAGTGCGCTTAAAAAGAGAAGTTACCCGACTGTCCTACCAGATCCTCAACCCTGCTGTTCCAGTCATGACGTACGTATATACGTATATTTATAATATAATATATATTAACCCAGCCAGTACTGATTGCTGAGTTATATAAACAAGTGATAACATATAAAGATAACAATCAGTTTCACTGTTGGATGTCAAATTTGGACGAAAGCTTATCTTTACAATTTGCTTGGGTATGGTTCAGTGGGGGGCGTCTCGATAGTCCGAAGGTTCATTGGTCCGAAGGTTCATATTGGTCCGAAAAATGGTAACTTTTTCATCGTTTTTTTAAATCAAGGATTCGGGGCCGTAGCGATAGTCCGAAGGTTCAATAGTCCGAAGGTTCATTGGTCCGAATGTTCACTATAGAACCTTCGGACCAATGAACCCTTGATTAAAAAATCGATAAAAATGTTACCACTTTTCGGACCAATGAACCTTCGGACCAATGAACCTTCAGACTATCGAGACGCCCCCAAGGGTTCATTGGTCCGAAGGGTCTATAGCGAACATTCGGACCAATGAACCTTCGGACTATTTAACCTTCGGACTATTGCTACGGCCCCGTTCAGTGAAGGAGCTTTAAACAAACAAACAAACAAATTTTACTTCAAAAATAAAAAACCAACAGTCTGAAACATTCGCCATAGGCTCTGTGGAGTTTTTCTTGTTCTAAAACAGGTGGAATATTTCACTTAATTATAAAAAAAGAGATAATTTTGTATTATCAAGGTTGAAAGTAGGGTTAAATTTTAGTTTTGCAGTTTACACCAAATTTTGGGTTTCACATATAAGATATCCTTCTATATACTGACATTAAAAATATTTCAACTTCAAGCAACACGTTTGGCTATCTTTGATTGAGTTATTATCGAATTAATCAAGTCGTGAATTCACAATAATGGTTTCATGTTATTTCTGGTATCTTATTATTAATCAAGTCGTGAATTCACAATAATGGTTTCATGTTATTTCTGGTATCTTATTATTNGTTTGGCTATCTTTGATTGAGTTATTATCGAATTAATCAAGTCGTGAATTCACAATAATGGTTTCATGTTATTTCTGGTATCGTATTATTCGTTCAGATAAACAATCAAGTGCCATGGGTCATCCCTAAATTTTCCATTTCAAGGGTGGCGCTAAAACGTTGAACAGCTCAAGCGCAAGCTAAAAAATTGATAGTAAATATATATCACCAGATAAAACAATGTCACAGTTTGGGTTTTGCATAGCAATAAAAATTACTTATTTTGGAACATTCTCACTGTGCTTGTAGCACCTGGTGCTTTAAATTCTAAATTTGAGTTTTAATATTTTAACGCTTTTAAATTTGAGCACGCAACTTCTGTTCCAAAATGGCGAACATGTGGAGCGGCGTTGAAAAGGCCATTCGCATGATAAAGAAAATGCCTCGTGTACAAATTACGAACGTAAAAGATAACACTTCAAAAGGAAGAAAGGTGTGTTTAAAGCAATTGCGAACATTATTCAATATAATTGGTAAAAGGTAAAATCAGTTGATTAGGTAGCCGTCTGTAGACATTCAATATAGGTAGCCTAGTATGATAGCGGGACATGTCGAGTACAGTACATCATACATGTACTTGACTTCTTGACTTAAGCTGTACGTAACACTAGTACTATTAGTAATAGATCTACTGCTATTGCCAAGGACTAGTAGGAGTGGTACTGCCAGTACCAGTAACAAATGGCTTTTTACTGCGCTCAATTTTATGTGCAGCAAATGTTAATTGAATTTAATATAAATTGAAAAGTGAAGCTTGTCAATGATGCGTTAAAGTACACACTACAAGTACCATTTGCCTCAGCCTTTGGCCTTACATGTAAGGCTGAAAACTGAGGTAAACACTTCCACAGACAACTCCCCAATGGGGTCAGGTTCTTGATCATTCATAATGCTGTGTAACATAATTAAACTCATAAACAGTAGAAAGAAATTGGTAAAATTAATTTATTAAGAAACATAAGGAAAAGATATCTTCTCAAAGCATCAACACATCGATATAGTTAGATAGTAATTAAACATTTGAAAATGTTTAACTTTGAACCTTTGTGCATTCCCAGTCTAAGATGAGGAGAGGTCAGCATGGAGGCGACAAATGTGGTCGAGGAAATAAAGGACAAGGGCAACGAAATAATCGACCCCGTTTGGGTTTTGAAGGTGGAAATTCCCCATTTTATTTGAGAATACCCAAGGAACCGTATTACAAAGGACACTTGTAAGTTACTGTAATTTTTCACTTTGAAGAATTGCATCTGTAAAATATTGAATCCCTTTTCTTACACATTTTGAATTTGGCTCTGTGAACTAAATATAGAAGATCTTCATTTTCTTTAATCTTCCTTTTTTACTGCTTTAATGTAGAAAGGTTTTTGAAACTTATTTAGTCATGAAATAACATTCCTGCTCATTAATTGCATTTTTATAGTCAGTGAAGTTGTAGAAATCCTAAAATTGGAACTGTTCATTTTGCTGAGACCAAATGTTAATTATGACTGTCAATTTTTATTTAAAGGGAATTTTAGAGTTCAGAATGCAGTTATGTAATTGTAAGTTGTAGAAAAATGTTGGTCTGGAAATTCATATATTTTTTATTTCAAATTTTTGTCTAAATCAATTTCAGTTTTACTCTTGTTTTGGTCAAGATGGTGACTTATCAATTTAACCTTCTAGCTTAAAGAAAGAATATCCTCCATTCTCCCTGCTGCAGCTCCAGAGGGCAATTGACTTGTACCGTATAGATGATAGCCAACCCATAGACCTAGCAGTGCTGTGTAATACAAAACTCTATCAAATGGATGTTGACCTCAGGCACTATGGAGTTCATCTCACTGAAGAGGTTGGAATAATTGTTTTTTATATACAAGGAAAAAGATAATTAGAAAAGAGTACAATTTTGAAAATGGAAATGTAGTTTACATTAACTTTTTTTTTTGCCCTAAGGTTGCTTTCAAGTTCTCTTATTTCATGCATTTGTATTTTTGACCACCCATCTCCAGAGAACTGAATGGTTTGGTGCACACTTCATTCATTCATTATGTTTCTTTATCCTTAAAGACATGTTTGAAGTGACAATAAATGCCCTGTAAAGGATATAAATTACTGTTAACAGTTTCTAACACACAAAATCCACATGCAAAAAAAAAAAAAAAAAAATAATAATAATAATAATCTTGAGCAAATCAGAAAAGATTTTCATTAGTTGTGTTATGTTATAAGAACAGAGTAATTTTTCTTCTATCAACAGCTAATGTTGACAGCTAATATATTACCTCCAATATTCCCTGATGAAGATGCTCTGAGAGACATTGAAATATTGGAGGTATTAGCTGTTGATTAAAGAAAAATTACTTTATTCATATAAGAATCTCTTGAGCAGCAGAAAAAAAATGAAAATTGCATTTTCTTCTTATTTCTGATTGTAAATTTGACTTACTTATATTCCCTTCAGTCCATAAAGCACAGAAAGTGTGCAAATATAATTTTTGATATGTAAGGGAATTGATAAATTATACTGTTGAAAGCTGTATTGTGGCATTGTTTAGGTTTAGCAGCAATAATTTGATAGAGTACTCACTGAACATGTATCTTTAAATGTTGATTACAAATATCTCTACATTCAGGGTTTTGATCTGTTCCAAGCCCAAATAAACATCGAGGTCCAGTGGGCCAGTGAGGCGGCCATTGCAGCAGTTGAGAGTAGAGGAGGTGTCATCACAACGCGTTTTTATGACCCAGAAAGTTTGCGGGCTCTGGTAAATCCCGTAACTTTTTTCAAAAGGGGAGTTCCTATACCACGCTGTAAGCTCCCTCCCATGGAATTGTTAGACTACTATAGTGATCCTAAGAACAGGGGTTATTTGTCTGATCCAGATCTGATCAAGAAAGAACGTTTTGAACTTTCACAAAAGTATGGATATTCTCTCCCAGAAGTACCTTACAATGAAATGTTATTACTGAGGAAAGACCCCAGGCAAGTATTCTATGGACTTCAACCTGGCTGGGTTGTGAACTTAAGAGATCGGGTCATTCTCAAGCCTAAAGATCCAGAAATTAAACAATATTATGAAGACAGATTGGAAGCAAAATCTGTGTGATGTGTATCACATCAAACATCAAGGAACTTGTGGCAAATTTATTAAGTTTTAAAATGATAAAAATTGTGGAATATTTAATGTGGGGTTGCACTTTTAGTTTAACTGTCTGCTGAACAATTTGTAGATAAAGAGTGCCCCACTGAAGCAAAAGTCATAGAAAATGGCAGTATTTTCATAGCATGTGGTAATACCTGAAGTTAATCCCATGCCATGTGTTTAAATATACATTTCTTAAAAGTGGTTTATTTTGATAACACTTGATTTAATTATTACATTATGATAGTTTCACCACATCTCCATACATTGCACCAGTTACCAGAATATAACATCGGCAGAAGCAGTAATGTGCACACCAAATTTTTTATTTATTTTTAATTTTTTTTCTTTATTTATTGTAAATGAAAATGAAGTGAGCAGATTGAGCGAAATTGTAGGTCTGCTGAAAGCCAAATTTCAATTTGGGCATCTACTTAGTCCGCATCTGGCACATAGGCAGCACCACACAAACTTTTGCAAATTCTTAATGCAAAAAGATTGCAAGTGCTAGCAGCTTAGTAATGCAGTTAAGTAGAACCAAATTTAATGATAACTGGGTCACAAGTGGTTTGTACCAGATGTGAATGCAATCACTGTATTTCATGGCTCATTGGATTAAAAGAGTCTACTTTATGATCAGCTGGATTCGGTCTTATTTCGTAATTGGTTATGAGAATCTCTTGTCTTTGTGCCTGTAATAAATGAAAAGAAAATAACATTGTTAAAAGAAAAGGTCTGCTAAATGCCCAATATATATATATATATATATGTATATATATATATATATAGACTGAATGCAAAAGAGATGTCGACTTTTTTAACTTGCTCCATAGAAGGCATTATATTCCAACCAAGTGAAATTATTTTAAAAATCTTTCCAGTCACAAAAACCAAAAAAATAAATGCATAATTGTGCGTTGTAAAAAGAAATGTGACTTAATATTCTGGTGACAACCTATGCTGTACCAACCTCGGTGAAGTCTCCATGAAGCCCAATGTAGTAAACTTTGGTTGTATCAGCACCGAAATTTGTTGGGAAATAAATGGTTAGATGGGTCACAGAAGAAAATCTAACAACTCTGAAATGGAGATAAAATATGTCAGTTTTATTTTCACAATTCCAAGTTTTTTTTGTGTGGTACTACTAAATTTGTTAATATATATTAAAAATAGCATAAAATTATTTAAAAAAAGCAATTCGCTTTGAAAAATTTGCTGAAAACATCAAAACCCAATCAATTTTCAAACAAATTTTATTGCTGGTCCTTTGTCATGCTAGCTATTTGCACAAAAATCCTCATTCTGTGATTTTGTATCATGTTAAAATTATGAGCAACAGCACAGTCTCCACAAACCACCCTTGTGTATATAATTATTATGTAAAGGTTATAGCTTGATATAATAAGATTACTGTGAACTGACTTTGTTGGATATTCTACAACTCCTGTGGAATCTGGTGTCACCTGGAACTCCTGATCTGCCTCTACACCTGTGTCATCAAATGACATTTGAGGTCTGTTCTTGTACCTGGAAATGTGATACTTATAATAAATAAATAAAAATAACCTGCCACGTCTCCATCTTCTTTTCAAAATGTGCAACGGATTTATGTTTAACTTGAATCTTGGTTATTTGGTTACAGGTATTGACCACCTCCATCTTACTTGGTTGTGTTTGTGTATGAACAGGATGAGGGATAATGAACTATTTTCATTTTCATCAGAGGTTGGAGGGGAAAATAATACTGTCTTTCTGTCACTTTCTTTTAAATATTTTTGACAATAATACAGTAAAAACTTTCAATTTAACATACTAGTCATATTTTAAGAAGGTAAAAGCAGTGACTGAGCTGTTTTATTTGTCTTCATTACATAATGACATACAACTATCCAGTCAGTTTATCATTTTCTTTTAGTTACAAATACTGGTATATACCTACATACTTACAGCTTCATGGAGGATGGGTGTGTATCATCCTCTCCACCTATCACGATCACTCCTTTCAGTTTCACATTGCCAGTGAATCTGAAAGATACTCAGTGGTTTTAAGATTGAACTATTCAAGAAAAAATCAAGCAAAATATTGAAATGTATAGAAGAAGTATAGAAGAACTGAATAACCTTGATTATATTGGCATGAAGAACACTACATACTTTACATTTTTCGTAAATTCAATTGATGTACTTACGGAATATTGAATAAGAGCTCTTCATCCGCATCGCTTTCCACAACCTGTAACGTTAAACGTGGTTAAACTCAATTAAACCAATAGTCTATTTAGGCCATTCACATAAGAACTTTAACCGCAGTCAAGTTTACTCTGATTAAACCACGGTCAACCAAACCGCGTCCAAACCGCGTTCACACGGACACCGGCAGCGATCAGTAGCGGTAGAATCTCAGCACTTCTTGTCAAGCATGCGCTCTTACTAGAATCTTTGCAACTTGGCGGGAGCTTAAATGACGGTACACTTGTGCGTGTGCACTTCATATGTAGACATTCGGTCTTGACCGCAGTCAGGAGTTTACTCCGATTATACCCACCTCCCAATCTGGGTTTATTTCGACCGCGGTCAGGGCTATGTTGTCCGTTCACATTAGAAAAGTTAACCGCAATAGGACCGAGGTCAGGCCTTGACTGCGGTTAAAAGTGCTAGTGTGAATGGGGTATTTGATTCACAATCAAAATCGACCAATCAACTGAATCGATTGGACAATGTCACTGTTAACTTTACCATTATAGATAGCAAAAATTATCAGTTTTTGTTTATGCTGTCACATTCATCTTTCAGTTACCCCCTAGAGATCACATCGACTTCTGTAAATTTAATGTAATTAAGATCATATTACTTAAACCAATTGAAACTGAGTACTGCTTGCGGGGTACCCTTTCTTTATCTAGCCTTTGGTCCCATGGCTTGAAGACTGTTTTGCCAGACCCGTCAATTTGTTCGTTGAGACACTGAACCTTGTCTAAATCTATTTTCATGTACAGACTAAATTCTGCTCCCCTGTCAATCCCAGACTTATCGTCACTGTGATCGCATCCACCGCTGCCATGACTGTGTCCATGACCATGTCCAGACATCATTAATGAGAAACACTGTTCCAAGTAACATTTGCTTTAATTGCAGTATATCTTACACAACAAATATATATATATATGTAAAGAATATGTTTGACGTAAATTACATTAATATGGTCTGAAACAGTCTTTTATTGTATTTTACTCTCTTGTGGTTATATAAAAGGAAAAGAAAAAAGCAAATCGGGGTCGAACTTTTAGAGAACCAGTCAGTTATAAAATAAACTGCGATAACGCATTCAGAGAGTCACAAGAGTCACACCAAATGCAACGAGGCAGCTGTACATTTCATTTGCGTGCTGCATTTTCGTGGGGATTAGGGATTAAAAGGTGATGACGGTGACAAAATAGGGAAGGAATAAAAGACCATCCATTATAGGAACATTTCCATTTGATGACATTTCTTACAATCATCAACAAATTCGATTTCTTTTTTTTTTTTTTTAATCTGAAATTGACTTTTTATCTTTAACTTGCTCAAGGTGAAAGTTAGCAGTTTACAATCAATCTCACATAATGTGCGCGCATTTTTGTTTACTATTCCCTTTTTAATTTACCCTATTGTGCAGTAAAATAAGAATATCTCCTATCCGCCACCGCACTTTTTCCGCGTCCGTAAAAAATAATCAACATTACAGTGAATACAAAAGACTCGGGGAGACTGTTTTATATAGCATTTTACAAGTTAACTTATTACTTATGTGTCGATGGATTCAATTGGTTCAACCTGACATCTGTGGCGAGCGTTGCTGAGCAAGTTTCCCTGGTACTAAAAGCTGCCTGGATCAATAACTATTGAACACTTTATTTCTACTTCTATTTACACAACAGATGTTCCTCTCTCTTATCACTGGACTTGCGGTTTATCAAAATATTATCATATAATGCTTTTCAAACAAATGGCGCTCTTAGATTCTTTTCAAAGGGAGGTAAAGATATAATAGAGTAAACATGCCGAAGTACACATCCGGGGTGCTTAATGGCTTAAATGTGGTTTCAAGTGTCACCTGCGCTGTGTTTAACTTCTTTACTTTTCAACATATACAATTTGAAAGTTTTTTAATTACTCGATGACGAATGAACCCTACATATCTGGATTCTACTGCCAAGCGTTTTGATATCATGCATAAAATAAAGTTTTTTTTCAAAACAACGTGTGGTCAAGAAAACCGGTAACCGAAATGTGATGAATTTTTAAATATTTATATATATTAACTTTCCCAGTCCATCAGAAATCTGTCACTTATCCTTTATTCAACGTTTCTAGAGACGAGTACCACGGGCAGTACCGCTTGCATTTATTGTCGGACTTCCTAATGCAAGTGCGTATGTTTTAAAAGATACTTCATATAATAGTATATTACCACTTCGAGGGATAAACATTACTACTTCATGATAGAAGGCGACTTCATTGGTTAAAAAATAAGGACCCTCAGGCGACTATTTACCACTTCATGGAACATTTGTATCCAAACATATAATAGTAATAAATATAATCCCTTCTTGCATTTTAGATATAATAGTAATAATTACAATCCTCACGTATACTTGTGCCATTCCACTCGTGTTCTCTTTACGTAGATATCTTCTAGTGAGCACGTAGCTTTATTTCATGTTGTAGTTGTTGAAATTAAATAATGATGGATGAGAGTGTGAAAAAGTAGGTGCACGTTGGCATGAAATCAAATTATAACATTTAGATCCTAAACAACAACAACAACAACAAAAAAATGACCAGCAGATTTCTAGAAGTCTACAGATGCTGTGATGACGAAAAAAATAATCCATTAATGCTACAAAAGATTTACTACTAATAACAATAATCGCTCACCCTTTTGCTTTCACTTGAAACTAAATTATGCTAATACCTCGATATGAAAAATCAGCAATAAAGGACTGAGTGAACAAAAGAGCACTCCAGTGAGCAGCTGTTGGCGCGTGCCGCGTCGGGCGGTGTCTTTGAATGTCACACTTGTTTCTTAGTTATTGCTAAATCGAAATAGACAAGAAAAAAATAGGTGATATAAAAAAGATATAAGAATGGAAAATGAAATCAGATGTTCAGAATTATTTAATCTGCAAGGTGCTGAAAATGCTGCACAGGTTCAGGATACGAAAGTTTACTTTAATTTCTGTGATATTGACACAACTAATATAATGACGTAGACAGGTGGCCCGCCTGACTGTAGCATGCATGAAATTTTAATAATAATAATCAAAGTCCTGGATGTTTTAATTGTTGCAGGTGAAATCATCTGATACTGGGAATAGTATGCTGGCGTTTACTGGACCAAAAGCAAAACTAAGGTTATTCTGGGGTCACTGCTTGCGGCCGGTGATTTGGAGAACAAAAGAATGTCTCATGTGACGTTCAGAAATTCTTATTTCTTAATAGATAAATGATTATAAAATTCTTTTTTAGCATTCTCTAGCTGAAAATAAGCCGAATTCCATCTTTCAAGGGGCATAAATGTTTGATTTATCAAAAGTAAAATTATGTTAACAAAAACGTTTAAAACTGAAATGAAGTAAGATTAATACAAACGTATTCATTTTTGTATGTATTGTTCTCCTGCTTATAGAACCTGGTCAAGCTTTTCAATGAAGAAATTTAATTTTTTGTCAATTCAGCAAATTTTATATTATCGCAGTACGCCGTATACCTATTGATTAAACTGAAAAATGTCCTTTTTACCATGAAGAGAAGGATCGCTTAAAGCGGATAATAAAAACTTAACGACATAAACCTTTTGTCTATTATTTAATTGCAGTGGAATCATCTGCTATGACTTGTGAACATTAATTTAAACATATATTTTGCTAAGGGCAGCAATGATGTCAACATATATTTATATTGTGTGAGCAATGATCACTTACTCATCAAAACACAATCATGTTTTGTTACATGTCCACCCCCAGAGATCAATATTATGTCATAATGACTTGTACTTCGATCTACTTCAGCTTATGTCACCAACAACTGAATTTTAGTGCATCCATATTACCATCTGTTACCAGCTTGCTTTCATAAAGTCGGCTAATCCTTTATAATAAACCTACGCTCAATACTATTCAGCTAGTTAAATGAACGCCAGGCGCGTGTCTGGCATGCGACCGTGTTTACCAAGGTATTTCTTAGGCAAATCAACCTGCCGTAGGTACACAATGTAATAACTGATTAAGCCACCCCGGTGGCTGGGAAAACCAGGGCTTTGTCCTATTGTCTTATTTGTCTCAAGTGGCCTGCTGTAGCCTGAGACAATACAGAGCAATACGAATCATTAATCATCTGCTGAGGTAGGCTGGGTATTTAAATCCCGCATACGACAGCGTGCAAACCATTCGATCGATACAGACTTTAGTAGCATGTATTCGATTGGTCTTTGTCTGCCATATTTTTCGTTTTTGTAGATATATATTCGAGTGCGAATTGTATTGCACACGAATCAGAATACAAACTGGAAGATTTCTAGCAGTGAAAGTATGATTTTGAACCGACGATCTCCAGAAATAGGCTGTAAGAATTTAGCTGATTTTCTGATCATTGCAAGAACAACGACAGAATCTCTTTAAAAATGGCGGACCAAAACATCTGGTGAAATGAAAGAGAGAAAAAAGACGATAAGAGGAAGAAAAGGAGGTGGAGGGAGACGTGACGACAGGCAGCAAAAGTTGACGATAAGGGTGAGCGGCATTTTGTGCCGTAAAATTGTTTTCCCAGAGAGCTTGACAGTTACGTGTTTTAACATTGTATGATGCATAAAAAATTTCTGATTTATAAATTGACAATATATGTAACATTCCCTTCAAGGAGCGGCAAGAAAGAAAAGACAGTTTTGGTTGTTGCTAACGGTTCTATTGCACCAGAAAATAACCAAAAATCTGATTTTACCTATGTAGAGACTTTTTTTAGCTATAGTTCACGATAAACGATTCTTATGTTTTCCGTGCGTTTTTGCGGGAAAAGTCGCCGTTCTCGGTGCAAAAAAATGGCGGCTCAAAAACATCCATTGCAATACGGGTCAGAAGACCATTGGACCTGGAACAAATACGATAAATCCCACGAAGTGAAACTGTACGGAATGCGCAATATGACAGCTCATTTTCATCCTAACTGGAGCAATGGCACCGCTGGAGTGCGTGGGACTCGTATCCTAAATTATGGATCTTACTATTGGGAGATTAAAATTTCCCAGAGAATATTTGGTACTAGCATGATGTTCGGCATTGGTACAAAGCGGACTCGTTTACACGTCGATGCATTTGTTAACATGTTGGGCGAGGATGACCAAAGTTGGGGGCTCTCTCACAAAGGACTTCTGTGGCACAACGGCAAATGGAGACAATATACAAAACCATTCCGAGAAAATGAAGCAACGACAATAGGACTTCTTTTTGATTGGAAATCCGGGACGTTAACATATCTGAAAGACGGTCTTAATTTAGGAGTGGCTTTCACGGGCATCAATAAAGTTGAAGAAGACCTGTACCCTGTTATTTGCTCAACTGCTGCGAAGACTGAGATGACGTTAGGTGTAACCCGTCGAGCATTTGTAGACCTACAGGACAGGTGTCGTGAAGTCATAGTACATCAGATACAAGATGAAAATGAAGTGGACAACTTGCCTTTACCAAACAAGATTAAGTGCTATATCAAAGAAGCGTTGCCATGAATGTTTAGTCTAGTCTTCTCCGATCCTTGGTGCTTTACCATTACCTTTTTAAATAGTAAAGTGTAATGATTAATTTCATCTTAATTTTTTGCATATTGATAACATATTTTGTGCATGCTGGAAAAATCTCTCACAATGCGAGCAAAACTGTTTTAGTCAATAAGCTTTGTACAAAATGGCGTCTATATTAATTATATTCTATTGATTTATTTCACCTGGAACAAAGAAGCCTATATATACATATTGCGTTTACACAAGCAGAAGAAGATATCGTAGAAAGAAATCTATCGATAAGTACCGAGCAGCTGGTGATCTGCATCAATCTTTTGTACTCCCGCTTTTCCCTGATAAGCTAATGCTATTAGCTATACATTATTGCCACTAACTTAATAATGCCGGCTCAAGCTGAAATGTAAGCTTTTTTAATTAATGTTCTGAAAATGTCCCGTGTATAAAAATCTCATCTTTTTTATGTGATTTAACATAATATTAGTAGATTTATATACCTATGGTTAATCTATTACTTGGTTACAAGCATTTGCATATACCTGTATAGTCCCATCATTTTGTCCCAGAAAACAGAATCAGTGACGAGGCATTTGAAGAGACAAGAAAAAGCTTATTCTTAGCTTCTATTACCCATTAGTTTATAACAATACTTTACCTAGAATATGCAGCCAGGTCGTGATATTAATATAATGCAAATGTGTGGAAGCTTTTATTCTAGAAATATGTGTTTTTATGAATTCGTTCTTACAATAGACTTTATCTTCTTTAGTCGTTCGGATGAGTAGTTCTGGTCAATTGAGTTTTAGCAAACTAGCGCGTGTGGTAGATATTTAATGAATCGTACACGGTACCACTTAATGACCTCCTAAGAATTTCTCTGAATTGCCTGTTCTACGGGAGAGTCACATGACAACCATCCAATACTTCTAGTTAACCAGCTAAGTTATGAAAAATCAAAAGAAAAACATTTTAGTGCCTTAATTGATTGGTTTTGATCTGTATTTTGAGGTAGTTATTTTAGTGATGCATAAAAACATGTTCGTTTTACATTGTGCTAGACTACAGTATAGTGATTGCCAGGTGTTTCACTCAATTTTCTACACTAAATTGTATATTGTTTTGCTTGTACAAATGGCGAGTGTCGAACAAATGGAGGAACAGAGTCTCAAAATGTACATAAAACGAGTAGTGTTTGTCGTGATGTCATTAGAATATTAAATGTACAAAAACACAAGGCCGACAAAAGTGCAATATTTGTCATTAGTAAACCTAGAACATTGAAGAACGTGAGAGTGCGTTCGCATTATAACCGAGAAAAGTGCAATATATTGTATATTTAATTGATAATTCGTTTTTCCTAACAGCTGGGACACAAGTGCAATATTAATATAGCTGTAGTATTGATTCCACTATTTATTGTTGTTTGTAACGTGCTTATCAAATTTTAATGGAGACGTTCATAAATTTGAAATAACTCCGTGTTTATATATGTCTCAGAAAATGTGTGAGTGTTTATATATTAACCATTTCGAATTAATTTCTAATTAACCTTTTAGCTGTTATGTTAAACACGTACTATAAAAGGCAAGTGCTGTTTGTGATGACAGATAATCTTGGTAGTAATACCAATATGGATTGCATCGTCTGAGTAATTATGATAACTCCATACAGTTGCAACAGGGAAAAGCAGTGGAAACGGAGCCTATAGCAGGTGTTGAAGAGATAAATTATTAAATTCGTTATAATATCTCTGTTAAGATAACTACGGTTTTGCAACTGATCTAGTACTGATCTAGTTCGCCACGAACAATATTAATGACTCACAGTCACCATGATTTTAGTCATGTTATAAAGAGTTGTTGTGAAATGTTGGCTAACCAGCATGTGGGCTTCCTTTACACAGTGAAGGCTACGTCTAGAAAGCATATAAATGATAATAAATTTGTCACAAATATTAAGTTGTGCATATCTTCAGTTTCACTTAAATAATAACGATCGTTACTTCATCTTCAAAACCAAAGTCATTCAAAGATGAAGGAAGACTTTTGCGAGTTTTAGTGAAGGTAGGATTCTGTAACAGTAATCAAACAAAGGACCATGAGTGAAGGTAGGATTCTGTAACAGTAATCAAACAAAGGACCATGATCTCTTAATTGGCTATGGTTTATGTGTTTCGGTAAAGTAAATGAAATCCCACCACTAACTATGCATGTTGGATTTTAATATTTGCATTGCTTAATATTTTGTTGCACTGAATGGAAGAAATGAAAGAAAGCGGGCTCGTTCAGTTCTTGGCATCATACACAACCCGTATTCGGAATTTACAGCGCTATCTAGAACACCGTGTCACACAGAGTGCTGTCCGTCGGATGGCGTGTGAAAGCAAGTCACAAGTGTATTCGTGTGAAAAGGAAACGGGCATGCTTTTCCTGGTAATGCATGTACACCTGAGCAGCAATTAACAGACCTGGTTGGGATCAGCGTCAATCAAATTCCTGTCATGTCAACAGGTCCTTGGTTCCGTGGGAATTGAATTTGTCACTGTAACCTATTACCGACCCCCTACCCTTCCCGCTTATTTGGTTGATAAGGAAATATCTGTTTGCTAAAAAAATGAAAAATCTTCTGCTGTAAACGAAGCACTGTTTTAATACATTCTGCATAGGGCTTTCCACATGGACGTGGATGGACAACGTTTGTTTTTCTGCCCTTGACAAGTGCTCAACATACATTTTTGAAAGAGTGTAAAAAAAAAAAAAAAAATGGTGACGACAGGGACAAAAGTGGATTCGGACATCCTCGGCTTTATCTTTAAGCACGCTCTTCATTGTGGACCTTTCAACAAAAAAGAATAATTTGCAAAGCGAGATATCCTACTATTTTTTTTTTTTTTTGCTTTTCCATTTTCTTGTCAGATTGAAAATGGATTCATTGCTTACGTCCTGCCTAAGGGTTTATGCTCATCAAGAGAAAAACAGATGAAGTGCATTGCCTATTCGCATTGTATTTTTAAACAATACTCTTTTATTAAAACTAACAAACCACTACGGCACTGCAGTTTATAGAACACCAGCTTTGTGTATAGTTTCCAGATTTTAAGGTTAGAATTATTTCACACAATGATTCTGTAAAATTGTCATAAAGGATTGAATGAGTTCTCAGTGAAGCACAACACTCTTGAAGATATCGATTTCTTTCGCAATATTAGTCATAAATCTCAGAAATTGCTCACGGCTTTGTGACTCATCTGATGTTATCGATCCTGTTTATTTTGATTAAAGACAATATCTTGGAACTGTCAATGACTTAAGGACTTCTAGATGTTTTCATCTCTATGACGTATTAATAAAGAGAAAATCACACACGCCACTTCATAGGGGGTGAAGTTATTTTTACATTTTTTCGGGAACTTCTACTGCGAATGAAAAAAATATCAAAGGGACAGAATGTGTGATCAGCAAAATTATAGTTGTACTTTCTTTTTAAATAGTCCGATATTAAGTCTAAGAGCACGTTTTTGTCAAGTAATTAGATTATTACTTTATGATTTACGAAAATGCAAGGAATGCATTATGCGACTTCATTAAACATAAGCCAATTTCGATAAACGAGGTCTAAAAAACTCAATAACATGGCGTTTTTCACTTTTGAATTCAACACAGTGATGGTTTGTTAGCACTAGAAAAATATTGAAGGCTCAAAGGAAATTATTGGTATTTTCGTACCAAGATCACTGTATATGGCTCCTTCAAAATACTTTCGAATTCTGTTTGTTTTTTTACCAGTTTCATACATTAATATTTGTATACCATACATTTAGTGACTGGAAGACCGTTTCACACAACCCAAAATCAGTGGATGAAGCCTCGTCTTGAATACCAACTAAACCATGTTGTTTATTTATTTCCTGACCAGATATAACAAGTTGATTTCTTTTCTGTTTAAAAGTTACTTTATCTCTGGTCAACATGGCATGTTTGACTGGATGCCTCTTGTGAATTTAAAGTACAGTTTTCATAAATTTCATGGTTTACTATCTTTCTGTAAAGACTCTGCCATGAAGAGTTTTCCAAAGCTCTGAGACACAAACTGCTCCATCTGTTGGCAATAAGTGTTCACCTGACCACAGGTCAGCAGGTTATCTAGACGTGGCGGCGGATTCAATGGTTTAAACACTTTATTTATGTCTTCTTCAGGTAAAGGTGGCTGACCCTTGGCTGCCCGAGCTTCATTCTCCATACGCTAAAAAGCAGAAAACAGCGATTTACTATGACCATTCCCCTGATTGTTAAAAAAATACAACTACATACAGTAGATTGTTTGAAAATGCAATGACATAAAATACAAACATTCCCATATTATTTTGAAAATAAATTCTAGCACTCTTATGCTAATACCGTGTAACATTTACTTATTTTCTATCAAATAAATTTCACATTTGAAAATATTAAATCAAACGCAAACAGACCAGAAATGTGAAATTAACATACAGGGAAAAATATCTAAATAGATAAATAATGATCAATAACATACCCTCTTCTGGAGATACTGCTGTTTTGCTTGTTGTTGTTTTGCGGACTGTCTCTGATAATTTATATATTTATTTGTGTCTTGAACCAACTCATCAACGTTTTCCATCAACTGACGAACATTCTTTTCTAATACAGACCTGCAAAAAAGACACATATGATACTAAGCTAAATGTAAAAAGTAGTATATACTCGTCTTCAATGAAAAAAAGTTTCCATGATCTTAAATATTGAGAAGCTCGATAAACTAATTAACCAAAGTTTCAAACAAAGAAATGTAATATAATACAAATGAAAACAATAAAACTCCCAAATTCTTAAATCCACAAAACCACCTTCACAACAGTTGTTAAAAAACATGATGAGTTACAAGTACTACTTACGCTGTGGCCAGGTCTAGACTCTGATAGTGCTCGGCTTCTGGGGCTATTTCCTGGATCTCACACAGTAAGGCATTCACCAGGTGGGAATTCTTCATCACAACAGGAATTTCTTCAAACATGTTCTCAAAACTTATTCCCATTTCTTTAATTCTGAAAAAAAAGAAGGTTTTTTCATCAAAGCAACAGTTCATAACATATCTAGTATTGTCACCAATTTTTTATGCAACTATGCATAAACAATACAGAAAACATCTTGTGATAATCATTCTTATGTATCCCTGACGTGTCAAAATTCTTGTAGTTTTGTGCAGGACCAGCAGAAAACCAATACAAGAAGACAGCATTCACCAAAATTTTGACCATAATTACTCACGCCTCTGGTGAAAAGTCTCCTTCCTTGTACATGTCCATCATTGCTGGTGTGAGGCGGTATGCTTTTAAAGTAAGATAACCCTGAGATGTTCGTAGAGGATCTGGAATCAAAGGCATAATCGTAATGTAACAGACTTCTGGCATGCAGAAACATCAGTCATGTCATAGTGTTTACTGTTATATGAAAAAGTATGCCAGAATCAGATAGTAAGATTGTATTTCCTTCTTTGATGATTTTTTAAACAGTTAACATTCCAGCATTTGGCTTAAAAAATAGTGATTCCAAAATTACTTTTGCATTGTATGCAGACTTCCGTCTATCTTTGAAGGGGCAAACAAACCGAGGGAGAGTGCTATCATAGTTGTTGAGATGATATAAGAATGGTGTCTAAAATTGTTTATCTTAAATAATCATTGAATTTAAAATAGATCTCGTTTATTTGGAGAGTTTGATGTTGTGAAAGTGCTGTTCTTGTGTATCATTTCCAATTTAAACCCCTTTGTTTGCCCGTTTAACATCTTACCATATATCAGAACCACAGACTCTTCTATAGAATGCTGGTAGTTGAACTGTGAATCTAGCAGTGCCTTGTTAAGGAAAGATCCAAAGTATGTGCTCTGGTACCAGCCCACATGAAGATGGTCTATGTTGACATGGCGGAGATTACGCATCATCTCCATTTGGTACTGGACTAAAAGAAGTTTGAAATTTACATTTTAGATATTTCAGAAAAAATATGATAAAAATCCATGATATTGACACTGTAATCATCATAATAATAATAATAATAATAATAATAATAATAATAATGTAAACAATTTTGACAAATGAACTATTATTAAATGTACCACCATTACCTTCTCTTAATTTGTTTAAGTCTCTTTATCAAAAACCCATGATATTTCATTCTAACTTTCTAAAGTTAACCTGGATTTGCATTAGATTAAATATAATCATAAAAATACAATTGCAAGTGAATTCACAATAAAGAACAGCTTGAAATTTCATGAGTTAACACCATGGCTCTAAAAATTTTTGCTTACCTCTCACCTCCACAAAGTCTTACCTCCACAGCACTGTGTTAACATAAGATCCATCTGCTTGTCTGCCTGTTAGGCCACTGTGAAATTTAATTACACCTGCTCAAGACGAGCGTTGAGAGATTTCTGAATGCTCAAATTTGGTAAAATAATGACCTAACATTAGTTCCTGTCAAGAAATAAGCCAATGCCAGAATCCTATACAATGGAAATTGCTTGACCCACATGATTGTTTGATAGTGACAAAAATCCCTGTTGCACCCCTATAGAATTAAAAAGTTTGTCCACGGCTATCTTGAACTGACATGTAAATTCACAGTAGCATAAACAGTAGTACTGTAGACAAGCTCATGAATCTTATCTTAATTCACATCTTTGTCAACAACAATGGTGTGAATAGGTGGGGTACGTCATAGACACATCTATCTTTCATACATTAGCACATTTGTGCTAAATTAAGTATTGATTAATTATTGTGAAACCTTCATCAAAGTCTTCATCCTCTGTGTGTCTAGGAAAAGGAAAACAGTTTGTGATCTCAAGCCTGGTGTCCACTACAAGACCAAGTAGGACTCCCTGGACAAGGTCAGTACCGCCAGCACCCTCCTCTTGGCAGTGCTTAATGATCTTCAAAGCAACCTGGAAAACGTTCATTGCTGTTCAGAACGTACTAAATTTAGTATTACTCTAATGTAGTGTATTTGTACAACCACTCGCTGTGCCCTACAATGCATTGTGGCCATATGCCAAATGTTTATCCGTTTATTACCGTTTATTACTTTATAAAAAATACGACGTTCAACATTGAAATGTACTGACTTGTATAACATAACAGGAAGCAAATGAATCAATGTGATGTATACTCACTAAACCATCAATTTGTACATATTTTACGGGAAGATCCCTCGTGCGCTCGCGCCCCGAAGCCATCTTGAAAAATGACCGGGTAGTAGTTTTATCATTATTAAGAAATATAGTGATCACCAATAATAAACTAAGTAAAACTAGCGGAAAAGTATTACTTATATGTGATATTGACTGCGATGCATTCTATTTTGTTCTGCCAAGAGAGGCTTTGTAGGTATTAAACGATCTCTGGTCAACGAGAATTCGCGAGAACCAAAATGTCTGCACCCACAATGAACACATGATCAGGGGGTGGAAACGCGCTACTTATATGATTAAGACGAGCCTGGCCGCCAGTACCGGATATTGTTTTATGACCTTGAGGAGCAATTAGGTTTGGTCGTTGTGGCACGCATGAACAGTAGTTGAACTACCACACCTGGGTCTTTTGTTTTTGACAACTGTTCACTCGTCATCGAGGCGCTTGTTCAAGACTACAGCCTGATATCTACTAGCACTACCAGTGGCTTCATTAGTAATGTTCCCACAATACATGGTTTTCTGTCTGTGCGTACATACCCTGAAAAAAGCCAGCCTCGCTGACGAGAACAATGGACGTTTCTCACCCCTCTCTAGGATTACCCCTGACATGATGTTGTTGAAAACCAGTATAGATAAGGTTTTTAAGCATTTGTGAGCAGCAATGAAAACTAAACGACTAAAACAGGCCAGGAAAATTGTAGGGTTTTATAAGAGCTATTTCGACATCTGTCCTCCATTCAGCATATTGATAGATGGGACTTTCTGCAAAGCTGCCTTGCAGTTCAAAATCAACATCAGGGAACAATTGCCTAAATACTTGGAGTCAGAACTTAAGCTTTGTACCACGCTTTGTGCGAAGGCTGAGTGCGAAGATCTAGGTTGATATGTGGATAGTCTTTTTTATTTGATTATGATAATTTTTATACTGTTTAAACAAGATCAAACTGATTTCCATTTTTCCAATGTTATTAGTTAGCAATTGATTTTTATGAGAATACAAAATTTCACAAGATTTTTTCATTTTAAATTAATGGTTAAAAAATAATTTCAATTCACCGATTAAAAAATTTTCCTTTCCACTTGTTTAAAAGTTTTAAATTTGTATAAATTATTCCTTGTTTCAGGGCCTTTGTTATACGGTCCCTTCAAGGTCCTTCAACAGTTTGATTTAGAAAGTTGTGGTCACCACAGTCCATTGACAGCTGCAAAATGTTTCCAATCTGTTATGAAGAAAAAGAAAAGTATTTTTGTTGCCACACAGGTATGCTCATATATATTCAGTCTAGATATTATCAGAAGTTGGTATAAAAATAAGAAATAAGCAGCTTTAAAACCCCACTTTGATGTCTGTCTATTTAAAAAGTTAGGTTTCTACACAGTCAAAAATGAAGTCATCTGTACAAAAATATATACAGAAAATTTTTAAAAAGAAACAGTTACTTTTCTACCCTGACCAGTTTCCATATTGCCATACAGCATGTGGTCAAAAGCAGAGTAAAATTATTCAATTTCTTTTACGATTAGTTTTATTAGCATTTTCTTATTCAGGACCAAGACCTTCAAGAGATTGCCAGAAACAGGAAAGGAACACCTTTGCTTTATATTACACACAATGCAATCATTCTTGACAATCCCTCCAACAAGTCGAGGCACTCTGCAGAACGCAATGTTGCTAATAAGATTTCACTGTCACATCATGAACAGGAGCAATTAAATAGGCTCAAGAGGACAGTTTTTGGCCATGATGAATTGAAGAAAAGGAAAAGAAAAAAGAAGAAAGGAGTGAACCCCTTATCTTGTAAAAAGAAGAAGACCAAACCAAAAGAACCTATATTAAAAAATGGTGTGCAAAAAAGAAAAAGAAAAAAGAAGATTAAAATTGCCCCACACATTATTGAACATTTGAAAAGCTCTTCTTGAATGAACTTTTTCTTTGTTAACTTATTTTTAAATACACTGCTATCTCCTGTCCTAGAACAAAGATAAAGGAATAAAAGTAAACATGTTATTTGAAATTGGTCACATTTGTTTCTGTTTCTTGTGCCTTTTATTTAAATAGCAGGATGTCTTCTTTTAAAGAACACAAATATTGAGAGATGTTAATTATTAAGCGCAAGCAGAGTTTTTTACTTTCTAGCATTAGCTTGTGGCCAATATGGTTGCAAGCCTTCATTGTACTAACGTGAGTTGTTACATGAAACCTTGTCAGGACAGTACCTAAGTGACCAATTGTTAGCCAACAGACACAGTCTGCAAAATACAGCTAGTTATTCTCCCTTGTAAAGGAATTTCACAGTTCAGAGAGAATGTGCAGGAAATACAGCACAGTATCAACACTACTTTCATTGAAACAACACCTACTGGGGTAGTGGCACCAAATGACATGACCCCTCAAATATAATAATGTGGCATATCAGATTAATTTCCATGAGTCTAATTCCTTTCACACTGGAGAGACAGGTAGACAATTGAATACCAGGATAAACTAACACAAGAAATCTGTGACTGTAGGCAATAACAGCTCTGCCTCTGCCATCTCTGAACATATATTTAATAACTGGTCACAGTATTGGTTGGAATTCAACCAAGGTCCTTGAATCCCAGTCATCGAATGTCCCAACTAAGATATGAGAGGCAATACACATTGTCCCTCACCAAACAGTAACAACTTGCATCATGCTGATGAAGGCCTATGACGATGTTGACTGCAAGTCAAAGGTAGTAAGAAAATATTCAGCTTGTGCATAATATTCCTCATCTATGGTCCCAAGTACTTAGCTTATGGGCATTTTTGCTCAAGTAATATATGGTATTCATACGATAATGAAAATCACTCATTAATTTCGACCAAATGGATTTTTGTCCTTATACCTATTTTACTAATGTAAGCATTCCCTATAGTAAAATCAAAACGTTTTTGTAAAAACATTATTTAACTGTCCCCAAGCATAAATAGCTTACTCTACAAAATAAATGAAATTAAAAAAATAGGGCAACAAATGTGTGTGCTGCTAAATATGCATGTTGCCAAAATATAGATCTCAGATATGCATTCTACTAATAATTGCCAAATAAAATAATACTTTGCTCAATTTGTTTTTACAAGGGACATCAGAATAATTATTTGAAGTTCAAACACATATTTGAGATAGCTTGGAAGGTACAATTCTGATCGTGCAGGGCCGTCACACTGACCAGTTAATGAACCAAAAAACCACAAACTATAATACTACAGTTGTATTGTAGAGAGAATAACTTGAAATACTTTGGCAGGATAATCCCATGGAGTGGCCCTTTTAACTGAACCCCCAAATCACAGAAAATGACTTAAGAATACCATCTACCATACGCAAAATAAATAAAAAATGAATGAAATTAATAAAAATAAAAACCTGATCAAAATCGGTGAAGTATTGCTTTATACCGGTAATAACATGCAGCATATAAACTGATGGAATAAGCTTTCCTTTGGAAACAAGTGCCGACAGTACGTAGTGAAATGCCAAGACAACTGACGTTTACCTTTCGGCATGTTCACTAGTGTATCACTCCTATGATCTGCAGGAACTTTTATTGTTGGATTTGTAGCTTTTATTTCTCGAGATGTCACTCGCGTGTGTAACACGCCAGTTATGCGGTAGGAATCCGTATACTTCCGGTCTTTTGGAAACTGTGCCACTTGACATACATTCAGTATTTATTATGTTCAATAAAAGGTGGACGTGACGTTTAAATTATTCTCGGAATGGGTGGGCGGGATTAGGGCTAGATCTATGTATAATAGCGTCGAAAAATTATATATTTAGTGCGAGATATGCACTTACTCAGTCACATTTAAAAAAGAAAGGGTAAGCATGATACACATGTTGGCGTGTGAAATTTGTTAAATGACAGAAATATTCCCATTTTTGGCGATTATGCTGGTAACTAGTACATGTAGCAGTCGATTTGTGGTCCATATCATTGAGATCCACTGGCAATGAAATTAATATAGAACTATGGAATTAACAGTTTCGATTTACAAATACCAGTGAAAAAGTGATATGTACTCTATTATATCGACTTCTAATTCGATGGAAAATTGGTCACCGAAATAGGGACTGCTGTCTACAGCCGGTACTTCAACTGTACGTACATGTACTTACAGTATATATCTTATCATTTTTTAAACTTCCACTGACCGTATCGAAAACTAAAATTGCATTTATTTTTGCTTTCTCTTAGGTATAATCGATCATGTCACAATTATTTATTCTCCTTAATATTAATTTTAAAGGTTTGCAACTACCAGTATTTCCCCTTCAGTTCCATTACTACAGGTATGTCTCCGGTTCCGTTAGCCCAAGGAATAGGGCGAGCCTGCCAGGCATTTGCTTTTGACTGCTATGATGAGGTGACCAGGTATTTAGGTGAGCATATTTGGCTGAAAAAGACTCAGAGACATTAAATGGTAATGTTTGGTTATCAGAAGGAGCATATTATAAGGATTTTGATGACAGTTAAAAGTTTTAAATAATGAATATATTATATAACTGACATCGTGTCAGCAAGAGATTTTCTAGTACTAACATATACAAGTACTAGCCACAAATCTAATTAACCAAGTTGAACTTCTTTGATTGACTTTTTTTGACCAGACAATTTATCAACAGTTTACTATGCTATTTGATGACAATGAAAATTACTTTCACTTTCATTTCATATTTGTCTTTGGTTCCAATTTAACGTGCATGTTCCTTTTTGAGGGTTGTCACATGAACCTGAGGTTTAACTGTCACGTGACAGTGTAGGTGGATATAAGTGTGAAATGTTCAGTTTTATCTGTGGCATTTATGTTGATTTAGAGTTTGATCTGTTTGAAATGTACATATAATAGGTCGAAATGGAAAATTTGAATTTTAGTTTTTTATCAGTTTCTTTCAACAATGACAACAAATCTGTAGTAATAATATTAACAATATTGATGACACTTTGAATTGTCCCAAAATGAAAATATATGATATATTAACATATAAAATGGCACTCATTAACCTATTAGTTGTGTCTGAGATGTACATAATTTTAATCAGTCCTTAAAAGCATATCAGCTCTTCTATAATCCATTTGAGGAAAACAAACCTTTCAAGGGTTGTCACATCAACAGTTGTGTTTGTGAGCTGCATGCCTATATAGCTGCCCATTCTGTTTGCTCTGTGATATCACACTGCCACAGAGTACACTTTGTTCAGCTGAGTTAATGCCCAAACTGCACACATCTTACAGTATGGATATATATGCAGAGGGCTCATCTTAGAACCTCTGTGTTGTTCATACTAGTATGCAAAAAGCTTTAGTCCTGTTTCTTGCCATTTGATATCAGTACCAACTTCATTGACTTAATTACACATTCTGAAGAGGATTTTGTGTGGTCCCAGTAGGGTAAGGTGCACTTCCATATCAAAATTGTGACATTATTTGTCACTAGATTGAATATTGCTAAATACATGTATATAAATTGTTGCTATGGTATAGAAGTATTCTGTTCAAAGCCAAATTATGTTGTTTATTTTGAACCCTTTTTTAATGCAAGTTTTATGATGGCAAATAGACACTTTTCACAACAGAATATATATTAACCCATTTATGAACAATATTGTAGTATCTTATCAATGGGGTATTGAGATGGATGAAATAGGTCACTGGCACATACATGTACTGTAGAAAAGATAGTTAATCATATGGAAGCACCATCTCAGCAGGGCTAATGGCCCCATCATAATGAACTTTGAAGCAACATCGGTTACAGATATTTTATCCCTAAAGGTATCATTACATCAACTTACCTTTCACGAAGGTTGGTAGTATTTAAATATTTATGTTAGTTGTTCTGTCTAGATTTCGTGATCGATCCTAAAAAGGGATTGATATCTGCAGTATGTGTTTTCTAATTTTGTTTTGAATTTGATGGATGAGTATTAGAAAACCAATTATCATAGTGTGGTACTGGGCAAAACTTCCCAATTGATGCTGTGGATTTAGAGGTATTAAGTGAAAATGGTTGAAGCAGAAATGAAATTTTGGGAAATTTATGATAATTATATACTAGCTGGCTGTTTTTTTAAGATAATTTATGATTTTACTTTTTCTTGCTTATAGGTGATTCAGAGGAAGAGTTTTGCAGTTATACTGATATGTCTGAGATTAATGGCAGTGGTAGTGAAAATGCAGATAAATTGTTTCATCATCCAGATTCTGCCGTAGGATTTCTGACTCCTATAAATCACTCTATACACAGGTAAAATTATTTGTTTTAAGTCTGGTTTATGTACATGCTTAAATGGAAAAGTAGGCTTAAGCTTATAGATACTATGCATGGTTATTACCAATCTTTCTATGAAGGGTTTAACTAAAGATGGCTAAAAGGAATTTAAACCAGAATAAGATGATGGGAAACAGGTAAATATTTTTGATTCATGTTATCAGAGCTTTAGCACAATATCAATAAGTTGGTACATATCCCTACTTTAATTTGCAGACTGTATATCTTCTCACTCTTGCTGATGTGCTTTACTTTCACAAGGCTAGATATATGCGTAGATGGAAGAAATTGTGATATTTTGCTTTATAGTGATTGCAAAAAACCCTGATATGATAATTTTGCCTATAGAAGAGAAATCTTGGTTGAGGCAGGTGAAGAGGATGAGGATGATGACTGTGATGAAAGTGAACAAGAGGACCATGGTAGTGCTGAAGGCTTTGATCAACCTGATGTGGGTTTTTTAGCACCGTGAGTATATGCCTGATAATCAAACCCTGCATCTCTTCTACTTTGATTCATTCAACCCACCTGCATATAGATTCCAGATTGTTTCCATTTCAGCTAGCTTAATTTACAGTTAATGCTACACAAAATTGTATCCTTTGTATATGGTCAACTACCTACTCAGTATTTAATTGTTTTATAAATCTTAATATATTATATGTATTTGTTTTTTAATTGATAAGCTTTTTTAAAATTAATTGATAAGCTTCTGTACAGATAAATCTTTTTTTTCTTAGGAGTTCCTTTTGGATTTGTATTATTTGAGTGATTTATGCATTACTTACTGATTCCATACTAATATATATTTTTTAAATATTTGTTGAACAGCTTAGACAGGAAAAAGGATTTGTATCAGAATCCAAAACCTCAAGAGGGGGCAGTTGTAGATTTGGAAAAGGAATGTTGTAGGTCAATAAGAGAAAAATTTCCTCTTCCTGGTGAGCAAAAATAGCATAAGTACTTTTTGATCTACATGTATACATGACCTGGCTTGTTGATCTACATATGAGCTTGTCAAACTGTTAATGCATTTATATGTAGCACCATATTGTTGTTGTTTGTTCACTCAGTTGTAATAATTCCTTTGCAGTTATTTTTATATTTTATTTGAAATATTCTTAGGAAAACTGTATGCTGTTTATATCAGTAACAGTTGTACATTATACTTTTATATCAATAGCCATTGTAAATTATACAGGATTTTTTTTCAGCAACTGTTTTGGAAATACATCAGACTCTGGATTCTTTAGTTCTACATAGAGAAAATTGGTTACCAGACCTTCGTGATTTCTTTACCTGTGCCAAGAATGAATCGGAGTTTTATCATGTAGCATTAACATTGGCAGAAATGGTGAGAATTTTATTTAAGTGGCTTTTCTAACACATTCTAGTAAACATTATGGACCCTTTTCACAATGAGCATCACATCTTAGCATCACATCTGTAATGGTACATTTTGAGAGATTGACATATTAATAATATCAACTTAATAGAAAATGCCCTATGGTACAATTGTGTAGTAAATTCTCTCAGCATACCGATACAGCTGTAGCGCTAAGGTATAATGATCAATAGAAAAAAAAACCCTTTGTAACCAGGTGGAGAGGGGACAGACAGAAAGAGCAGTTGGAGAGCAGGGATGGCATTTGCTTTAAAGTGACATATTTATATATAAGCTACAACTTGATGTTATTCATTCATTCATCATAAGGCATATAAAATGTACATGCAGTAATAAATTCTGCATGTATTGTGAAATATTTTTTGTTAGGTTGTCACTTCTGTTATTCATAAAATGTTGTATATTGTGTTTGTAGCTTGTAGATGCAGTGCACAAGCTCTCAGTGGAACCCATGAAAGTTCATTCCCTTAGACTAAGGCAGAAACCATTCTCTCCTACTCTTTTCAACTGCTGGCAGAAGCTAGTGGATGGGTTAGGGTTTATATATGAAGGACCAAATGCCTATGTGAAAATGGAATATTGTCAGGTGCATACAAGAGAGAAACAAAAAAAGAGTGAAGTGAAAGCCTGCTTAGCATTAATCTCTGCCATCACAGGTAAAAATCTTGGGCTAGCTGATAAAACTATTTTGTCTTTGCAAGACTATCTGATGGTTCACTCTGTTCTTTTTGCTTTTTTGACTGTCTTGTATAATTTTCAAGCAAATTAATGACAAATTGGAGGCAAGAGCCGCAAGAAATAAAGTGCTTTTCATTACGGTATGATTAAAGTGAGTGGTCCAAATGATTCATGGTTATTTTATTCCTATGTTTCATTTTTATCTTCCAGAACTTGGTTATATGAATTCATATTGTTTGGTGAAGAAATTTAGCAAGCAACATGCAGGTTTATATATGGAATTGGTGTGTATTACATTTTTGTTTTTGTTTTTTATTGTTTTGCAAAATTTTGAGAAAATGTTTTTGTATATGAAGCTTCAACTCTGAAGGTAAAATTTCTGAAAAATTGAGGGATTTTTCAAAAAACTTGTGAAGAAGGAAGACGGAAGTAACTGTTGGATATAATTTTTATGTATTTGTTCTCTAAGGTTAAAAAACTGGACTCTGAAAAAGTTGAACCAACAACAGATATCAAAACTTTGTGGAAATCACATAAAGAACTGCTGAAATGCCTTGGATTTGGTAAAGAAAAACAGAAAGGGATATTTTACCACGAGTCTCAGTATACAGGAAAAATGCATGTGGCATATTTGATATTGCACAGTGTACATGGTGAACCTAAGGTACTGAGGACTGACTCAAAAAAAGTCATCAAAGAAACTAGTATGTAAAGAAATTTTAACATTATTGTGTTATTTTTATTTTTCCTGAAATAATTTTCTCTAAAATTGTGATTACAATCTGAAGTTTGGGCTGTGTAATTTTTGACTGATTTTGTAAGTTACCGAATAGAAAATATTATTGTTTACTCATAAGGGAAAACCTGTATTCAATTGTGAATTATATATATATATATATATATATATATATATATATATATATATATATATATATATATATATAGTGATTTAACCTACACCAGAGTTCACTCAAGTATGTTAAGTGTTTACTTGTAATAAAATACATGAATTGCATTGTATGCAAATAAATTGTTAATTTTTACCAATGTCCTATTGACAGATTAAAAACTATGTTAGAATGTCTCTTAGGGTAATAGTTAAAACTGAAGGCGTAGAGTTGTACAGTGCTTGAATTGACAGCTGTTGACTCCATCTGTGCATTGTGGATCATTTCAGAGCAGGCATGTAATATCGTGTAACTTTTGTGTCATGAACATACCATTACAGAGTTTTGATCACATCTGCTGTGTGCTGATATGTGTACATGTAGCAGATTTTAGAATATTTTATGTGAAAGATGCATATTCTGTATCTCTTAGTGCATTGTGTGATGAGTCTTTCATCGGCCAAATGAGAGTAGGTACCCAGATAGCAAGCATACGTTGGGCCAACGTTGGCCCAACGTTGCCTTGGTTGACCGTGCAACGTTGGCCCAACGTTGGATTTCCATCTAAGTGCTCACTTTGGCCAACGGTTGGCTGAACGTCTTTTTAATGCCAACGCATTGCCAACGTATTCCCAACCAAACTGCGTTGGCCCTACATTGGGCCAACTAATAACCAACATTGGTTCAACAATTACCCAACCTGTAACCAACAGTGTATTGACGTTGGTTCTACTAATAACCAACATCAGTCCAACGATTTCCCAACCAAACTGCGTTGGCCCTACATTGGGCCAACTAATAACCAACATTGGTCCAACAATTTCCCAACCTGTAACCAACAGTGCATTTACATTGGTTCTACTAAAAATCAACATCAGTCCAACAATAACCCAACAAATAATACAAAAAGACAACAAAGAAAAATTTTNGTATAGCATTTGATACACTGCCCTCGTCAATTGGCAGTCATATTTTAAAGTTTAATTTATTAAACAATAAATTTTATTGGACTGTATGTGTAATGTTTACTTTTTGCTATATTGAGTCATTTATCTTTTACATAAAATTTAACAATCAAAGACACTATGTTTGGCACTTAGAATGTTACTTAGTTTGGATCAAATTTTTCATTTAGTGTTACCTGACTAGTAATGCAAGAGACTAACAGAGGCAGCTTTAGATGAATTTATAAAGACTAAGAAGGTTTTTTTGAAAGAGACCCCTTAATATTTGAATAATTATTAAATTACTATTCTTATTAAAAACTGGGTGATATAATATTTGATTGGATAAGATATTCGATAAGATTATCAGTATACGGATAGCAAACAGCTTGGATTGTGTGAGATGAATTGTACTTGTAAAAATGACATCATAAAAAACATTCTCACACTTTCCAAACTTGAAATGTCTTTGAATGGTAGCGAAAATTCCAGCACATAACACATATTTTTGATAAACAAGCTTGAGATGAGGCAATGGGCTAAAAAATTATCCCCACAGCCTGAAGTGGTTGAATGGAGTTGCAGAGCTATTCAGAACATCTAACACAACATGAAAAGAATTCAAATACAGGAGGAAATCTTTTACAATCCCAGCAGAGCAAGGAATCAACATTGCAAGTCCTTTGCAGTGGGAAAACAAATAAAAAAGGAGCAGGAGTTGTGGTAAAATCAGGTTGACATGTATAGCATGCACCAATGGCTTTAGAAATTGGAATGGTGGACTGCATGATGTGGGACTAATTAGTGGCACAAGTAGGTATATGATGCAAGTATATAAAATTTACCCTAGATTAGATGAGGTTGGGGGGTTGATTGCACTAAAAAATCCTTCATTGTCAGGGCTCTGATTATTACAAGTGTTTTACAGCCATTTTTATTAAATCAGCAGCGAGTGTGACTGTTCAAGAGAGTAGTGCATGAAAAAATAGTGAAGTTTTGTATAAATCCTCAGTTTGTTTAAACAAAAGAATACTGAATTTTAAATTATTTAAACTGTTACATTTTTCTTTCCTTTTTTCTTTCTTTTTCCCTTTTTTTGTGTAGGGGTGTGGGGTGTGACATGAGTGTTATAATGGCCTAAGGCATGTTCCATGAATGAATTACTCTGCTTAAAAAAGTGAGTCAAAATTTTTTGACAACTCTTATAGATTTAGCAAAGAATTTTATCAGCTGTGTTCTGCACTGAAATTATAACGAGAAATTCCAACAGTTAAAATTATAGTTATTACCAGTCTAATATTTCAATGTCTCGCAACACACCTCATATTCTTAGCTGCTCATTGATTTATAGTTTTTTTCCTATTGTAAAACTAAAAAAAAGTGGGGGCCTGTAAGTATAAAAAATCTGCTGAGTTCTTATTTGTATTTCTTACATGCCAGAGTGTTATATGTAGTCCTTTTTACTTCTCACAGTGGCTAAATTAATATTTTCATCTTGGTAAGATATGCGCAAGCCAAAACAGTTTTTTGACAACTTACCAAGAAGAATAACTAATTTGTACACATATGTTATTCAGTGTCCATATTAGGGTTGTTCACTGATGGCATTAACTAGAAAAATAACTTTAGTCAGAATTGACTACTCCAGTCAATGTAATAATGCAAGGCCACCTAGAATGTTTGTTCCTTTTGGTATTCTTTTCTTGAAAAAGGCTCCTTTTGGAAAATATTTTCTGAGAAGATATGGATAAATGAACTGTGGTAAACAAGCCTGCACTGGCCTTTCAAGGATTGGGTTATTGAGGAAGAAAATGTGGAAAGGTTGTCTGGAATTGATGTGCAGTCAACAGACGGAACAAATTGTAATCTAATTCATACTGCAGAGAAATCGTTTTGATATAAATGTAAAGAATTGGGCGTCCTCCAATTGAGCTCACTGAGATCTGATGTCATGTTTCATGAGTTATCATAGAGAAAAGCTGTAGTGTCCCAGCAGGTTCCCCAGATTGTGCCTGAAGAAGTTGGGATCAGTTTGTTGTTTGCACTAGTGGACATGACATGCAATATTACATGACTACCACACTCCATGTCCATAATAACTTGACCCAGATGTACATAGTTCATATAACTTAGTAAAAGAATGTAAATGAAGCATAATGAGGAAAAGCAATATTAAGAACCCATAAGAACTTGTAGACTTCAAGCATCTTGCTGCATACCTAAAACTGAGCTCTTTTAAATAATTGAAAAAAAAGGGAAAAAAAAACTGAAACAAGATACCCAGGTTGAGCAGAGGCTTTAGAGTGAATTTGGAAGTCTAGATGAGTAAGGAGTTGGAAACCAACAAGTAGGCTGTTGCTGCAGCAGCTGATACACAGGGACGGTTCTTCTGACCAGTTCCATAATATAATGGCAACATATGCTTTTACTGGACATTGTGATTAGATCAATAGACAGGATAGACACGTGTTCCAAACAGAAAGCACAAAGGGGAGAACTGTTAAGTCGACTGTTAAGTGTTTTCAGAGATATCTTTCTGCAAAGGGCAAAGATCAACAGATGCTGGTTCAGAAACAATTTTGTGGTTTAGCAAGAAAGTTTTCTGTGCATTCTGGCCTGTGGTTGGTAAGTGACTTTTCATGTGGTTGAATGGGGTTGATTTGTGATGTACAATGAGATTCAGAACATATATCACAATAGTTGGAGATTGTCGATACATGTGCATTAACACCACTTGGTTAATTTGTGACATACTGTTCACTGGCAAGAGTTAATTATCCTAGACTGAAGTAAAAAAAAAGTTTAAAAAATTTTGGCTGAGGTAGCTGTAAACATCCATCTGGTAAATAGTAAATGCTGTTTGCGTAAACAAAATTACTGCATTCCTGAGGCCAGTGGCCGCATGTTTCTGTAGTGTCTTTAATTGCTGTTTAAACTATGAAGATTATTGAAGACTTTTTCAAACCTGCTTATTGGCCTTAAACCATTTCAATGTTAAATATAATTAGGCATGTCAGGCTAGTTACCATGAATGCAATATGTATGATAAAAGTTTTAAGTGTTAACATATTTGTCAATTTTGAGTTTGAGGTAGTTTTATATTTTTACTTGATTTCCTAATTTGATCATGAAATACTAAAATACTTAAAACATTTTAATCATATTTTGCATACTTCTTCAATTAATGTCAACCTGTTCTAAATTATAGCCAATATGCAATTCTTAGAGTCTGAGTGATCTCATTTTTGAAAATATAAACCTACCTAAAACTTATCAGTCAGAGCCACACTTTTGTTTTTAGCAAAAGGGGTATACATATAGGTAAACAGGATATTTTAAGATATAAACATTTTTTATGAAAAATTATTTTTGGAGGTATCAAGGGTCTTGAGGGGTGGATTAAAAGAAAAGATAAAGTGTGACTTTTGGACATCTTTAAATGCATGCAGGATACCTTTAATCTTTATTAAGGAAAAGTTATTAAATACAGTGTGTCTGTAACAATATAATGTCAACAACATTTCCATTCTTCAAAGTGACATTTAATGTCAACTAAAAAGCATCTGATGACATTAAAATTATTATCATGTTATCATTTCTCCAGAGTTATATTCCTACATTTAATTTCATTTGAAAGTTACAGCATTATATTGTTTTAACATTAGATTCTGATTTACATCATAATCATTTTTGATTAAGATGATAGTTATTTGATTTGCATGCTCATTTTAAATTACACACACACACTGAATAAAAATATGAAAAAATAGTATTATTTAATTATTATTTGAGATAATTTAGTGCATGTGGTCATACTTTATCCTGCAAACCTTGTTTTTTCTGGATCGAGTTACATTCCTACATTTGATTGTATTTGGAAATTACAACATTTATTTTGTTTTAAAAAGAAGTTGCAACATATATTGTCTTTAAAAAAAGATTTTTATTAATAGCATAATCAGTTTTGATAATAGTGATACTTATTTGATTTGCAGACTCACCTAAAATCACACACAAAGGTTAACACACACACACACACACACACACACACACACACACTGTATATAATGAATAAAAATATGAAAAAATATTTCAGATTATTTGGGTAGGTAGTTGTGCAAATCTGTTGATAAAACACCAATCAACAGATTTCTAACAAAAGAATAACACACCTGAAGTTGGAGGGCATTGCCAAAAATTAGTAGTACACAATAATTGAATAGGTTGGTCACTGGGTTAGTAGGATGTACCAAACTGTTACAACTCTTTTTAATACATCTGCTACCTTGAGACCCTAACTATCCCAAGAGACCACTATTACTGGGATTGATTTATCCCAAGGGCAAAGACACCACCAAGTTCTATTTCAAAAGCCAAAAAGAACTCTTGCTGATCTCCACTGGGAAAGAAAGTTGCATGTTTAAATAGTTTGCATTACTCAACGGATCATTGTGATTGTTTCCGGTTTTACTTTCTCTTATTGCTGTTGTACACTAGCTGAGCTCTCTTACATCAAGAGTAAGTTAATTATAACATGTTTGACTGATGGTTTTCCTCTTTCTTCATTTCCCTTCTTATTGGAATCTTTTTATATTTTGAATAGTGTAAAAATATATATGACTGCTGGTTAATTGATCAAACTTAGTTGTACTGAAAAGAAATTGATTTTTTTGATAAATGTCATCCTCATGCAGGAAGACCAGCTTTAGAATCCACAGTGCTAGCTATTTGCACATCATCCTACTGGGTGGGATGTTGCCAGGAAAAGATGGAGAAATTGTTACGATGTGATGATTACAATACAAGAAAATAAGTTCTTCATTACTTATACGTGCATTGGCATTTTCAAGCTAGGTTCTACTACCTGAGAGTAAACTTATGCTACATTGTATCATCAATGATTTTTCTTCAGGTTCATGTCAGAAGCTTAAAGAGGAATTTATATTATTGGTTTTGGACTTAAATAAATAAATAGATTTCATCGGGGTTCAGAGAGTGAAGTTTTGTCAACGAACAATATTTTATGATCATTTTTTAAAGTCTTAAGTGATCTTCCAAATTATAAGTGAAATGTTAATTGAAGTGTTATGTTGAATACTATTTATTGTTGTTATTACTGAGGGGTGGGTGTAGGGGAGGGGTAATAAATACATTCCACTATCATGCTACTAACATAGAGGCACGGCTCAGTTCTCCAGGGAGTACAATGTAAATATTACTTTGTCCCCAGCTACTGTGCTGCAACATTAAGGTTTCAGGACCCACAAAAACCAACACAAATATTGAAGGTAGAGGGTACCATCATTTCACAAATAACTTACTACTGGTAGATATTCATAGATATTTCTCATTAACTGAGCACATTTCTTTTTTTGTGTGAGGGTTTTTGCATAGCAAGTTCATCATCACCCAGCTGGCCTCTGGTGGAGAAGACCTGACACCCATGGTGACAATTAGTTGCGGGAAACCACTACTTAAGACATTTGTGGTGTGATGAAAATACATAACTCAGTAACTGATATGTTTCAAAGTATTAATCCCATCTTTACTCAAAGAAAGCCTAATTATATATTATAATGATATTTTTTAGATATTTAGGTATCTTAATTAATGGAATTAATTTGAAAAAGCTGAGGTTTTAAAATGGAATTTATTTTTAGTCTTTCTATTTTCTATTCAAGTTGTTTAGGCTCAAATGATTCTTTTGCAGTCTGTTTGGTGGAAGTTATAGTCTTATGGAAGAATCGAAACTATATAATTTTCTTTCAAACATGATTGGAAGCAGATGGTCTGACATCATATTGGCAGCATGCCCTAGAACAGTGAATTGAAACAATAAAAAAATGAAAAAAACTGATGAAGACATATTACTCAGTTGTTCAAGCTTAATGATTTTATAAGGTAATACTGTCAAAGTGGGTATTTTTCCTATGATAAATAATTTTTTGATAAGTTTGATAGGATATAGACTTCAGAAGTCATGCAATCAGTGAATAATACCTAACCCAAAGACAAACTTCTAATCTTCCTTGTATTTGTTACAATGATGGCTCTTTACCCTGGAGTTATGGAATATTCAAGAAATAAGTGAATGTGCTGCAGAGAGTTTGGTTAACTGATTGGAAGTATTAGCAGATTTTATGTAGGTATTAAAATAATTGTTAATTGACAAAAACATGCACTCCTTTTGGGATCTGTTTGCCCTCAAGGATTGACTAGTGAGATATTTAAGGTCCTCCAACACACAATCAGAATCTAGCTTTTACTCAAATACAATTTAATCACCATGACTTTGGTGGATGTTGTGCCAAATGTCCCACAACTCATTATGTGTTCCATTCAAATTCCTCTTAAATAACTTGTTAGAAGTTGCCAAAATTACTTAAATGTAAGAGAGATAATAAAATTGAACTTAGTTGATCCTAAATGTTTTAGCTTCTTTGACATAAAAAGCAATAAAAAACATATTTATTATAGCTGTTGGTTAACCCCTGGTGTTTTCCTTTAGCATGAAAAATATGGTTGTTGTTCTTACTTCTTTGTAACATCTGAGCATAGACGTAAGTGCATTAAATTGAATCCTCAGTCTGTTTATTCTCAAGGGCTCCCTGCTGGGACGGATCTGCCTTCATGCCATGGTGAACAACTTGAATGGCTGTTTGAGGTCCATTACATAGGCATGGTTGGCTGTGAATTTCCTGTGAAGATGATATAACATAAATTTCAATTTAATAAAAATTATTATTTTGCAGTGAACCTCAATTTATATGTTGGCATATGTTTGACTTACATGAAGAGTTCTATTTGTGTCTGAATAAAGATAGTGGGAGTTGCTGTAACTGAATGGGTGGAAATTTTCAATTAATATTATTTTCATATTAAGAAACCTGGTCTATGTAGATCGATCCAAGTCCACGGGGACTCTTGCTGAATGCAGTCAATTAAACAGATTAACATTCCACTTCCTGAATGAGTAAGAATACAGAAAAGCTGGTGATTATACGAGTACTTTGGAAACAAGAGGATATTGATAGATAGATAGATAGATAGATAGCTCTCACAGTGTCTGTACATGTACATTTTGGTTACCTATTTCGGTATGCGTCATCATAGTCTTATGTACATGTATCATTTTTGCCACCTTCTCACCATATTCACCATAATGACTGCCAAACTGAATTCATAATTCTACTTCAAATTTATTAGGGGGCATTATTTGATAAAAAGGTAGGTTAAGTTAAAAAATCAGCATGATCAGATCATATTTATGGAAGTTATTGGAACTTTTTTAAATGTGTTTTTGCAAAATTGTATGAAATTAACCCGTGAATGTTTTCTGGATTTTCGCCTGTTTATATTAAAATGGAGCAATGAGGATGGTTTTTTTCTGCCTGGTGTCTGTATATTTCTCAGCTTCACTGTCTAGTTGGACATCCAGTGAATAGTTTGTTCATGCCTGTCTCATCAATGCCACAACAACAGCAACCTTTACATGGAGCAAAACCAGTTTTTATCCAACGGCAACACAACTTTTTAATTAGCACAATTAAATTTATTATATTGATTTATCAACATATCGCATGAATTTTCATTATATACTTGTATAAGTATGATAAATAATTATC